TCATTGCCGGCCGGCCGGCCGGCCGTCGCCGGCTTTTTTTTTCCCTCCCGCATCCGATATTCGTGTGCTCGTACGGTCAGCGGAGGCGACGCTCGTTAAAAAAAAAAAAAAAAAATAATACAAAAAAAAAAAGTACCACTTACATGTGTATAATTAATTATAACAAATTTAATTCTAAATAAAAATAGAAAATGTAAAAAGGACTTGAAAAAAAAAAAAAAAAAAAAAGAGAACTAAATAGAAAAAATAGATAAGAGAAATTCTATTTCTCGTATTAAATTATTTTTTTTTAAAATTAAATTGTGTGATATATATATTCTATTAAAAGATAATTACCGTTATTTCTACATAAAATAAAAAAAATGTCTAGCAGATTATTAAAAAAATTCTTAAAAGAGAAAAATAGAGATGAAATAAATAAAATAAGTGAAACAGTCAAAGGTCAATCTATTAAATTAAAAAAAAAGAAAAACTTTTTTAAATATTTAGAAGATTCAGTTACATCTGAAAATTCTAATGAAGAAAATAATAATGAAGAAAACAATAATGAACAAAATAATAATGAACAAAATAATAATGAAAAGAGATTAGATGATTATGAAAGAACCAACACAATAGAAAAATCTAGTCTTCTAGAAAATAGTAATAAAAGTATTAGTGATAAAAATAAACAAGATATATATAAAGAAAAAAAAAAATATAAAATTAGTGAAGAAATTAATATTGTGAAAGAAGATTTAGAAAACCAAGAAAAGACTAATAGAACTAGTAAAAAAAACAAAAAAAAAAAAAAAAAAAAGAATATAGATGAAGAAATTTCAAGTATATTGAATAAAATAAATAAAGAAGAAAAAAAAGGACAAGAAGAAAAAAAAGAAAAAGAAAAAGAAAAAGATAAAAAAAAATAAAAAAAAAAAAAAAAAAAAAAAAAAAAAAAAAATGAATTCTAAGTTAGACAAATAAAGAAGAAATATATAAAGTTTTAAGTGAAGAACAAAATTCAAATTACAGCAATAAAGTATTGAAATTTTATATTAACTCCATGAAATAATAGTAAGACAACATGTACGTATGAAATACTTTTGTAATTTCTTTTTTCTTAAATTAATAATTTTAATGAATTAAGAAAATGACTATATCACATAAAAAAGTATCAAAATAAATATATTGGTTGGTAATTCAAAAAAAAAAAAAAAAAAAAAAAAGGTAAAATAATTTAAATGTTTTTAAAGAAATATTATCAATGTAAATTTGAAATGAGAAAAAATTAACTGTAAGTTGAAATATTTTTTAATATTATTTTTAAGAATAATATAAACAATTAAATTTTAAATATATAATAAATAAAAAAAAAATAAACAATAAATTATACAATGAAGTTATATTTACAAGAAAATTAAAGGAAAAATAACTTAAAATGGGATTTTATAATAAAAAAAAAAAAAAAAAATTATACAAGTAGCAATAGATCATCATTCACGTTTTATGGTGACTAATATAACTAATAAAACACCTAATTCTATGGACGCAATTAACATTATAAAGAAAACATGGATACCCATATTTGGATGCCCTATAAGCATTTTAACAGATAGCGGTTCAATTTATACTAGTCAAGAATTTCATGACTATATTACAAAAGAATTACAGGGTAAATGGTATCATACCAACGCATATTATCCACAAGGAAACGATATAAATGAAAGCTCTCATAAAAGCTTAGATTATATCATTAAAACTTTATATGAAGAAAAAGATCTACCTTTTTGTAGAAATAGTACAAAATGCAGTACTAATATGTAATAATACACCTCATGGAGCTATAGGAGAAACACTCTATTTTGCTATGTTTGGAATAGATTGTATCTGTCCAGAGTCTGCAAAATTAGTACGAGAAGCAACCTCTGAAATGAGGGTTATATACTTAAACGATAAATGGAAAAACATACATGAAGATGTTAATGAAATCAAAAGAAAACCTATAATTGAGAATAAAAATATTAAGGTTTAAGATATTATCTCATACGAATTATCCGAATACCAAAGGAATAAAATTAAGAAATATAGTAGGAATATACAATATAAACCATATTAGTCATTTCCTCATAGAGTAGCTAAAATTGAAAGCAGAATTATGAAAGCATTACTTATATATTATAGAGGTAAAGAAGTACAAATTCCAATGTCAAAAATAAAATTGTTGAGTAACAAAACCAGGGAAATATATGAAAGGCAACTGCATAATTTAATACAAGTTACAAATAAGAATAAAAGGAAATTAAATCTGACGCATAATTTGAAGTCTAAGGATTACCTAGATATTCATAAAAGGAGGAGTATCATAATGTGTGATATCAACGATAATCAGGACAAGCAAATTGAAAAAGGAGTACAAAAAGGAATTGATGTAATAAAACAATACAAAAATAATAAACTTTATGTAATAACAATTACTTTCCCATGGTTGTGGAGTATGGTTAATAAAAGGGCTAGTTAAATGAAGAATACGAAGCTGGTCACATACACACAGACAAAAAAAAATTGATGATTTTTTTTTTGTTTGTACTTTTTTTTAAAAAAAAGTACAAATTCTGTTAGGAATAAAATTTGATAAAAAAATTGATTAAAAAATCAATTAGAAAAATATTTGTTACCAATAAATAAATATTAAAAAAAAAAAAAAGATTTTTTTTTTTAGGAATGAATTATGATTTTAATGAATTTTGTAAGAGAAAGTTTTATACACATAGCAATGAAATTTTCATGTAATTAATATTTGTATAATTTTTGATATTTGCAAATAATTGTTTATGTTTATTAATTCAACATCAATATATATTAATTGCTGAATGTAACTCATAATAAATAAACTAGTAATTTACAATTAATTAATAATTAATTTTTAATAAGAATAAATATTTTTATTAAAGTAAACAAATGCCTATTGAAATTAAAGAATGCTGAATTAAGTAAATTACGTAACTAAGGATCACTCATTCAAAACATATAAAATATATACAAATACATCAAAACCGTAGAGGTAACTCTACATGCTCTTTATTAATTCGCTTATTCAGTACTCTATCAAAGTAGTCGAACACCCAGTTAATAAACCACCAATACATAATAATAAAATTTTTATGTTTGTAATATTTATATAATTTAATGTGTCTCATTAATTGCCTATGTTTGTTAACTTGAAAGCAGCGGATTTGAGTTCCTAAACATTATTCATAACATTATAAATCATATATATGAATTAGGAGTTAATGTTCAATTAGGAATTAAATTTTTAATAAAAGCAGAGATTTTTATTAATGTAAATAAATATCTTTTAAAAACAAGGAATGTTCAATGAAGTAGACTATATATAAAACAGTTTAATAGTTCATAGCATTGAAAAATTATGTATAAATTCACTAAATTAGTAGAGAAAACTATAAATGCTCTTTATTAATATGTCTGTTCAATGCTCTAGAAATGTCAATGGATAGAAAATTAATAAATCATTTATATTAAGGTGATTTTATAACGAATAAAATTAGTAGTTATTGTTATACATGTTTTTCATTAATTTGATTATTCATTATACTATTAATTTATTTGAAGGGACAATTAATAAATTAATCATCTTTAATAAAAAAATTTAATTTCTGTATTTTTAATTTTTTCGTTTTATATACAAGGTATTAAGAAGATATATATATGTACATGCTGTAAATGAAGTTCTCTGTAAAAAATGTAATTCTCTTGAGTTCACAACTATGTATATATATTTTTTTTATATTTTTAGCTAGATTTGCTTCTAACAAAAAAATTTTATAAATTCTCAAATTTCTCATTTTTGCAGATTTACGTCACAACTTTTATCTGACAGTGTTGATAATTCATTTCATTAACCACCTTATTCACTGTATTTCTTATTTTTATTTAATTAATCAAAAAAAGAAAATTTAGATTAATGGTAGCTGTTACTTAATGTTGTTATTAGAATTAAGGAATTATTCTATTTTGTATGAAATTATTACTTATTTAAATTGGAAAAATCTATTAAAATTAAAAAAAAAAAAGTTAATTATGATAAAATTAAAATTTCACTTCAAAAAATTAAGATAACATAATAAACAAATTGAACATTGGATTATAAGTTGTAAATAAGATATTACAACATATATAGTTACATAAGTTATATTATTTAAATTTTTTTAAAGATGTAATTAATGGTAATTTTATACATATTTCATTTATTCAATTATTACAATTTACTATTAAGATTGATATATTGGCATAAAAGTATTAACAAAGCTACTACTATATATTGATGGAAAATAAAAATTAAACTATTAAATGATATTATTAAAAATAAATGTAAACATTTTTATAAAAATAAATGGAATATAAACATAAAAATTACAATAAGAAAAATATTATATAAAATTTTATGTTTAAAATTTTTTTGTATCTTATTTTAATGATTCTTTTAAAATATAAAGTTGAAATACAAGTAATATATATATTATATATCCTCTTTTTTGAAAAACTATATTATTTTATTTCTTTTTTTTTTTTTTTGGTTAATTGAATAGATTTTATTGTATTTATATAATAAAATATTATATTTTTTATATATTTAACAGATACGTAAATTATAGAATATGCAAATGGATAATAAATTATCTTTCTGATATATAAATTGATAAGAATGAAATAAAGTTTCATTTAAATTAGAATAGAGACATCTTTGTATTAAGTTAACAAAAAGCAATATTTTAAAAATTATCTACAAGTAAATCCTTCATTTTATTTATACATCAGATTAATTTACAAAACATAAAACACATACATTTAAAATACATAACAAATTTTAGAAAGAAAACTAAGGAATATTTCATTTTGAGTTATGCTATTCCTCATCTTTAATGAAAGTAGCAATATATAAATATNTTTTCTTAATTTTATTTTGGAGAATAATGTGCAGACTACTATAGAATGTATATTTTTATTTTAAGATAAAATGTAATATTAAGGAAATTACATTTTAGTTAATTGAATAGATTTTATTGTATTTATATAATAAAATATTATATTTTTTATATATTTAACAGATACGTAAATTATAGAATATGCAAATGGATAATAAATTATCTTTCTGATATATAAATTGATAAGAATGAAATAAAGTTTCATTTAAATTAGAATAGAGACATCTTTGTATTAAGTTAACAAAAAGCAATATTTTAAAAATTATCTACAAGTAAATCCTTCATTTTATTTATACATCAGATTAATTTACAAAACATAAAACACATACATTTAAAATACATAACAAATTTTAGAAAGAAAACTAAGGAATATTTCATTTTGAGTTATGCTATTCCTCATCTTTAATGAAAGTAGCAATATATAAATATTAAAAGATGATATCAACAATATTTATTTAATACTAAATAAAACAAGTAGAAAATTAAAAGCTAAATAAAATAAAAATGATAAAATATATAAAATTTAGTTTAACAAGCTTCTTCTGTGAGCATTTAAAAGTAAATAAGATACTACATTTTCAAAAAAATAAAAAGTCCATAATTACCTTATATAAATTCTTTTTCCTATTAATATTTTTATATGTATTTATATTTTTCTTATTTTTTTACCTTTTTATACTTTTATCTTATCAAGTTCTTTTTTCCACTTTAAATTAAACTCACTTTCTTCTTCATTAACTTTCATATTTTCTTCTCTTTCCCACTTCTCGTTTTTTTCCTTTATGTTCTTTTTCCACTCTTCCTTTTCTTTTTGCATTCCCTTTTCCCACTCTTCCTTTTCTTTTTGCATTTCCTTTTCCCACTCTTCCTTTTCTTTTTGCATTCTATCTTCCCCTTCTTCCTTTTCTTTTTTTTCTTTTTTTTCTTTTAGCAATTTCTTTTCCAACCCTTCCTTTTTTTTAATCATTTTCTTATCCAACTCTTCCTTTTTTTCTAGCACTATCTTTTCCAACCGTTCAATTACTTTTAGCCTTCTCTTTTCCAACTCTTCCATTTCTTTTAGCCTTCTCTTTTCCAACTCTTCCATTTCTTTTAGCACTCCATTTTCCCCCCCTTCCTTTTCTTTTTGCATTCTCTTTTCCCACTCTTTATTTTTTTTTATCATGCTCATTTTCCACTCTTTATTTTTTTCTATCATGCTCTTTTTCCATTCTTCATTTTCTTTTAGCATTTCTTGTTCGTGTTTTTTCTTTCTTTCTCTTCTTATTTCTTCTAATTTTTTTCTTTCTTCTTTTTTCCTTTCATTCATCATTATACAATCCTCTTCATATTTTTTCCATTTCTCATCTAATTGAAACATTTGACGATAGAACGTTTCTATTCTCTTTTTTTCACGTTCAAGTTCTGAATTTAGTTTATTGGAGGATTTTTCTTTCAATTTTTCTCCTTTATTATCCGAAGGCATATTATTATTTTCCTTTTTTTTAACAGTTTTATTACATGCTTGGCTTGTACTTGGTTTATTCAAGGACTCAATATTTTTTCCACTTGCTCTCAAAGAATTCAAAATTTGCAAGGATTTATCTTCAGAATCATTTTCTCTTTCTTTTTCTCCATTCCATTTCATATTAAATTCTTTCATCTCATTATTTGTCTTTTTTTTTCTTTCCTCTTCTTTTTTTTTTAACTCTTCCTTTTCTCTATTTTCTTTTTGTTTCCTTTCATCCCATTTTTTCTCCATCTTTTCCCGATCACCTTTCATCTTTTTATCCCTATTATCCCATTTATTCTGCAACCTAACTCTCTCTTTATGCTTAGCTTTCAAATTAGGAGAGTGAGCTCTCTATAAATTATTACAAATGATTTAAAATTTTGTTTTTATAATATATATAAAGTTTATAATTGTAAACTTTATTTTACCGCAAAACGAAGGAAATAAATAAAAATCATAACTAACTGAAAAAAACTTAACGACTTTTTATGAAGAACATTTACTGATTTAGCTGAATCTAATTTGATATCTTCAGATGGATTTTGAATGGCACTACGTAAATTCGAATCATCATATAATGGATTTTTTGGTATTGAAACAGTTGCATCTTTAATTACCCTATGAGCGAAACCTGCAGTTGAATCTCCCTCATTTAGTCTCTTACTAGAATCAATACCAATAGCATCACTAAGATTAAGATCCATTTTTGGTATCTCTAAAAATGTAAAAAAAATTATTGAGAAATTATTTCTTATATTTTTTTTAATGATTTTTAAAATATTTCTCCTTTTTTTCAGTAAGAATAATACAAGCTAAAAACAAAAAATATAGAAATATAAATTAGAAATTAGCAAATAACTTAAAACAATATGATTATTGAGAAAAAAATTAGTTTTAAAAATTTTTTTAAAATTTTAACGCAGAAATGTCTATTAAAAGCTAAATCTATAACTAAAACATAAAAATTTTAAATTTAAAATATTAAATCCTACATCCTAAATCCTAAAATTATTAATTATATACTATAACCTCTTATTTATTATATGTTTTTAATTATATTTTTCATAATAGATATATTGTTTAAATAATCAAAAAATAATAAATTTTTAATTAATCTTTTATACTTACAAAAAAAATATTCCTTTTCATTTTTTTATTTAATTTTTTTATTTAAATTAAAAGAGAATAATATAAAAAATTATTTAGATATGCAAAAAAAAAAAATGTTATATTTTTTTTTTACTTAAAATTTTTTTTTAGAATAGTTTATATTTAGATACAAATATATAGGGCTTTAAAATTTTTCTTTTTTATTTTTATTTATTTTTTTACTTATTTTTCTTTTTTTAAAAGTTATTTATTCAAAGCATGCAACTTTATCTTCGTTTAATTTATTATGACAATTATTACTAATTCAATAAAAAATGTGATGTTAATTTAAATTAAACATTAGAAGGATTATTGTAATAACGAAAAATAAATATCACAACGAAATAGATATATATCCTATAAATACATTATTATTTTTTTTTTTTTTTTTTTTTTTTGATGTCATTTTTAAGTTTTTATTTTATAATTATTTAATAATTATACATACTAACAGTTTTTTTTTTTTTAATATTATTTAATTTTTTTTTTCTTTTGTATCGTTTTATTATTGAAATGCTTACTTTCAAAACATTAACCTTTTTTGTTTTCTGTTGAAGTAATTTTAATTATTTTATAATAATGGATTTTATTTTCTCGTTTACGAGTTTTAACGGAATCCTATTAGAGATAATAAAATTAAATATAATAAAGAAAAATTAGTTAAATATAAAGTTCACTTGTAGGAAGTTCATCATTATACTGTATTCAAAAAAGAAAGTTATATTTTTCATTATGATCTTTTAATTTTAGATGAATCTCAAATAGATATATCTTAAAAAATTAATTTTTTTTTTATTTTTTTTCGTAAATAAAGAATGCATATTTTTAAAAGTAATTTCAAATAAATTTTTTATATAAACATAGGATTTATATATTTCATATTTAATAAAATAAAATGTCAATTGTAGTATGATATAAAACTAAAGAATAAGAAAAATATTACAATTTTAAATTGCATTAACTTCATTCCTTGAATCTTCTATGCATAGTATTTCTCATTTTCTATATGTAATTGTTGTTCACTTTTATTTTATATATTTGCATATTTATATTTTTATATAAAATAATAGTTTTAATAGTATTATTTTTATTTTAATTTACATGTACATAACTATTCTTCTATTTTACTTACATACTACTAATATTTATCTTATTTTCATGTTTTTTATTTTTATTTTTTGTATTTAAATACTTGTATTTATTTATTTTTCGTTTGAATTATTATTCCATAAAGATAAAAAATTTAATATAATATATAATATATGTAAATATTACTTTTAATTAAACATTTATAATTTTTTTTTATCCATATATATATATATATATATATATATATATATATATATATAGAGAGAGAGAGAGAGAGAGAGGGAAAGAGAACTTTGTTTTAAAATATTACTTGAGAAATAATTATTTCATTTTATTTTTTTAATATTATTGTATAATTTTGCATTAGCTTATGTAAATGATTAATAATTTATTATAATTATTCTTTTTAATTTTTTATACTTAATATAATAAATAATATAGCGTAAATATAAAGAATTCAAGAACATCAACTAAAAAAAATTTTTTTTTTTTGAAATTAAAAATATTAATAAGATATACTTTTTTTATAAAGCTTGCTTTTTTACTGAAATATCGAAATTATTTCTGTAATAGAAAAAATTGTGTGAAGTTTCTAAATAAATGATAAAAATAAGCTACATTTACAGAAAATTAATTTGTTTTATATTAATGTATGAATTTAAAAATTATGTTTCTTCTGAATGAATTAAAGATTCGAAGATATAAAAAAAATTTTAATTTTTTTTTTTAAATCATAATAAAAGTAAAAATAAGTGTAATGATAAACATATTATATTGGTGAATATCATTATTATCGAATATTACAATTGTTTAATGTTTTTTATATTAATAAATTATGTAACTTAATTTGTATCAATTCGAAAAGTGATTGTGCCATAATGACTATTTATATCGTAAGATACATAAATTGATTTAATATTAATGCAGGATGTTTATAAATAATATGTAATTAATATAATGGATATACATCATAGTGATAAAATGTTATTAACATAAACAATTTTAACATACAACCACTAAAATATATTTGATAAAAAATTTATGTTATATAGCAATAAATATTGAAAAAAATAAAAACAAGGTATTATAATCTTATTTACATTTATGTGTATAATTTTAGTTTTAATGAAAACAATAATAAAAATGTAATTTACATAAATTTGAATTTATTTTAATTATTATTCAATTTCTTACATAACAATTTATTATTTGGAGGAATTAAATTTTAGAAATAATGAAATGTATTATGAATTATAAATTCACAGCTAGGTATGAACTGACTTTTTCAGGTAAATAATTTGAAATATATGACAATAAAAACCTGAAAAAAAAAAAAGGAATTTAAATAAATATAAAAATTATCTTAATTTTTGTAATTTAAGTAATAATAATATATAAATCTCAATAAAAATAAACAATACACTAAATTAATCATTTTTATAACTTGACATATAATTAAAGCAAAAATATGTATACATATTTTGCTAAACGTTTCTACATAAATATGTTAAAAAGCAACAATAGCAATTATGAAAAAAAATATTTTTAGATATAGTGAATTTTAACTTATATTAACAATAATTTTAACAAATGTAAAAACTATTATAGATCATATTTCTTATGAACTATCTTTAAAAAAAAATTTATAATATATTTATTAAATTATATATATTACATATATAATAATTTTAACTTAAATTCTAATTATGATAGTTATGTTAAAAATCAAGTGAAATGTAATAAATGTAAATAGATTTAATAAAAATAGGTGCCATAATTTTTAAGATATATATATTTTTTTTTTTTCTTTTTTTTTTTTTTTAATTCAATAAAATTTATGCAATTTTTAACCTTTCTAATAGTAGTAAAATAAAATAAATTAATTTTTTATTTTCTTTTATCATCTTTAATATTATTATATCTACAAATATAATAAAAAACAATTTGTAATATATTATTTTTATGAAAATTTTTACTTTTCATCAGTTTTATTTTCATTCATTTCTTATGCTACTTATATGATATATAACTAAGATCGTAAAAAATTTCCCCTAGTTTTTATTATTATATTTACTTCTATCTACATTATGATACTGAATCTTAAAAATATATCAATAATTTTCTTTATTCTTTAATAAAACGAAATATATATATGTGTAATCATTACCCTTTTAGTTAGAAAATTATAAAAAGAAGCTTTAGTAGCTTTATATAAAAATAAATATATCTTGAGATATATGTATTATGTAATACTTTGTATAATGAATGCATGCATTCCATTAATATGAAAATACTTCTTAATTTTGTTACATATATATCTATATATTTATATTTTTATATTTAAAACAAAATATTATATTTATCATTATTATTTTTTATTGTAGAATATTCTTCAACATATATGTTAGCTTTTATTGTTCTTTATTTTAATTATATATATTCTTTCTTTTTTCTTACACAAATAAATTAAAATATATTATATATGTATATTAGTAATTTATTAATTGCTTATTTAATGATTTTTTTAGAGTGTTGAACAAACAGATTAATAAAGAGCATGCAGATTTATCTATACTAATATAATTAACTTAAATTTTTTTTTAATACTGTAAACCAGTAAATTGTATTTGTTTTGTCTAATTATTTGAGTATTTATTTTTTTCCATAGGAATTTATTTACCTTAATAAAAGTCCTATATTTTCATTAAAAACTTAAATCTTCATTATTTTTTTTGATTACATATATTTTATTTATAATATTATGAGTAATCATTAACAATTCAAATTCACTGCCTTCAAATAAACAAGTATAAGCAGTCAATAGAATAAAAATTGTATTACATAAATACTACGAAATATGAAAACTTTATTATAATTAATATAAAATTTTCTTATATAAATTTAAACAAAAATACTACAGGAAATTTTTTAGTCCGTAACTATTCTTTTTTTAATTTTTCAACAATACAACAATTTTCCAAAAAAAATAAATATATTTCTTTTATGCATTTTAGAATTTACAAAAAAAAAAAACAAAAAAAATAACTAATTTTTTTCTTTTTTTTTATCCAATGCTTGAATGACTAACATATATTTGGTTAATAAAAGGCTTTATTAACCTTTTTGGTAATAAAAGGGACTAGTTATATGAAGAATACGTATTGATTATGCACACGCAAATAAAAAAAAAAAAAAAAAAAAAAGATATTTTTTCTTTTTTAAGAAAAAAATAAAAAAAATTCCAGGAAAATTGTCGAAAGATTAGTAAAAAAATCAACTGGAAAAAGATTTGTTACCAGTAAGAAAAAGATATTATATATACAAAAGAATTTAATTTACATAGTATTTATAATTTTTATTTGTAAGAGAAAATTTTATATATATAACAATAAAATTTTCACGTAATTAATATTTAGATAATTTGTATATCACTAATTGTTTATGTTTGTTAATTCAACAGCAATAT